TTTAGCAATGAAACAATGATACTGTCAGGAATTTTTATTTTTTTTCGTGAAATAATCCAACTTTGCGTCTTAATTTATATTTACTGTCTATTACAACAATGCTTACTTTGTAGCTATCATCACAGTCATGATAGATTTTAAAAACTGGATCAATAGTTGTGAATTCACTTGTGCTACCTTCAAGATCAAAGTTTCCATTCCGATCAGTTTCACCTTCATCTAATAAGTCATCCGGATCTGGTCCTAAAGATTGTCATTCATTTTTCATGCAAAAAATTAAAAAGTTTTTAATTTCTTGCTTACAATCAGTACTGATCACACAGCACCATTTTCAGTAAATGAAAATGATGGCGACGAATCAGTAATTTGCACAGATCATTTAATATAAATAAAATTTTTGCTTCGCAAATTCAATTTGAATATTTCACCGTCGTCTTCATCCCACAATTTTACTTTAACACCAGATGCTGGCTTATCACCACATTTGAGCTGGCCATTAACTCGAACAGATTGGAGACGGCTTCCAACACAAAAGCCAATAATTAATGACGAAAATAGCAACAACCACGTGACTCGAACCCGCATACTTTCCTTTAAATTATGCAAATTATATAAATTGTGAAAAGGATAATTTTGTATCATTTTTCATTAGCAAAAATTCGGTACTTTTCAAAATTTTAAAACAATTCAAAGTTGTTCGTTCATCTTCATTAACTTTGGCAAATATCAGAAACTATATACTTACTAGTTTACTTATTCTTAAGCACTATAAGTTAAAAGATATTCTTCATGAATTGCAAAAAATTAAAAAACGAATTTATTATGTCAAATGGTCGTAGGATATTACAAATACAGAGCAGTAAAAATTTCCCACTGAACAGTAAAATATACAATCTATATGATCAGATGTGAAAGTAATTATTTTCATTTCAAGAAACCACTTGCATAACTTACAGAAAAATTCTCATTTTACAATAAGCCATTATGATTAATAATGTCTATAAATATTAGTTCTTTGTAATTACACCGATCAATTTTAAACTATTTAATCAGCACAAAATATGAACGCAAATGTAGCAAAATTACGAGAATTGGAAATATTTTGAAAAGAAGAAATAGAATTCAGAGGAAAGAAGTTTTTTGAGTCTAAATATTTGCAATGGAAAAGTGTCTAGCAGAAACGTTACTCTGTGTAATATTCGATACTTAAACTTAGCTTGTACTAAGTTTAAACCTTTGGAAAGGCAGAAAAGTCAGTTAGAGTAAAGCCTTTTAATCTATCTGAAATGAATCACAAAGTAACTGAAACAGTGTGTAGACTTGTTTTCTGCCTTGCAATTGAGACATTTGCAATAATTATTACTCACTGATATGATTGCAAAAAACGGCAATCAGAGAACCCACTTCTTCCACTGCTTGGAATTTTTTTACGCGAAAATAAGTAAATAATTTTAATATTTCTACAAAACGTAAAATGGAGTAGCAAAAATCTTGCAAGAAATAAATTTTTTGGAATAACTGAAAAGACCAAACATTTGTGTGGGATCACAGGACTTAAAAAAGTGCTTTCTGTCGAAGATATCTTTGTTCTC